TTTTAGTTGCATTACTGAGATTCTTCTCCATGGAAGTATTCTAAGTGCAATCTTATTCTTTCTTTTTTTCCTAATAATTAGATATAGACTAATAATTCTTGAAGCAGGCTGTTAAGATACCAATTGTGCCAACAAGAAATTCTTAGCCTGATATATACATATAAGGTGTGCTGCTTCTTTGCCCATAAACAAGACTTTGAGCACACCACCATCTATTGCAATGGTCCACACTATGTACATATACACATACATATACTCTGCACAGATATATATATATATGTATGCATGTATACCCATTCCATTAGTAGAATCCCACCTTGATCAGGCAGTGAGGAACAGGATCAGGCCATCCGTAACACTCATATTTGTGTGAGTGCTTTGTGTTTTCTGCCTGAGTTTATCTGCGTGGCTCACCATGTGTGTATACGTGTATTTACATACATGTGTATATATTTGTGTACGAGCACGTGAGTGCCTTTTGGGAGCACATGCTCAGCCTCGCTACTGCCTGGATCAGGGAGCACGGAGCTGCAGCAGCCTCCCATGTAGTGGACTGCTGGATTCAGCAAACCCTTGCACTTTTGTCTCAGGCCTTTGCATGAGGGATTCACTGCATACTTACCTTGTTATAAGGGACAGCGAGTTTTTGGTTAGCACCTGAGAGCTCATCAGACTGGTTGAGAACAATCCCTACAGGGCAAATATGATAAATGTTACTCTCATTACTGGTTTACTTTTTATTTCAGTTTACCTTCCTTTGCTGTCTTTTCTCTCAACAGCCCCCGAGCATGGATAGTTGAGCAGGAAACAAAAAAGGAACAAAATCTCGTATCGCTCTGTAAGATGCCCGTCAGCACCTGCACTGGCTCTGGCTGGCATGGAGTTAAACTTTTGTTGTGGTTTAATCTGGCTGGTAACTAAGCACCACCAAGCCGTTCACTCACTCCCCCCTCCCTCAGTGGGATGGGGGAGAGAATCAGGGAGAAAAAAAACAAGGTTAGAGCCGTGGGCTGAGATAAAGACAGTTTAATAAGAGAAAATAATAATAGTAGTAATAATGAGAATGGCGAGAGAATATACAGAATATACAAAACAAATGATGCACAATGCAATTGCTCACCACCCACCGCCCAATGCCCAGCTGTCCCGAGCCACGATCACTCTCCCCGCAACCGACCGACTAACACACACACCGCACCCCCCCCGCATGACATTCTATGGTATGGAATAGCTTTTTGGTCAGTTTGGGTCAACTGTCCTAGCTGTGCTGTACTCCCAGCTTGTTATGCACCTGGCCGAGCAGGAGAAGCTCAAAAAGTCCTTGAGTAGTCTGAGCACTACTTGGCAACAACTAAAAACATCAGTGTGTTATCAACATTCTTCTGGTACTAAATCCAAAACACAGCACTATGCCAGCTACTAGGAAGAGAATTAACTCTATCCCAGCTGAAACCAAGACAATTTTCCTCACGGCAGCTCTCATGGTGCAGTGTTTTAGATTTGTAACCAGTTGTCCTGGTTTCGGCTGGGATAGAGTTAATTTTCTTCATAGTAGCTAGCACAGTGCTGTGTTTTGGATTTAGTACCAGAAGAATGTTGATAACACAATGGGGCAGGGAGAGCACGTGTTACAGTTTGTTCTCCTCTCCACTAAAGCTACAAGGGGCTCCATGAGAGCCTCTACTGCCAAACCTCCTACCTGCCCAGAGGGGTAGTATGTTAGCCAGCGCTCCAGGTGAGTTGAATACCAGCCAGGGAGCAGGCATCGGTCGGCGGGTGGTGAGCAATTGCATTGTGCATCATTCGTTTTGTATATTCTGTATATTCTGTTATCATTCTCATTATTACTATTATTATTATTTTCTCTTATTAAACTGTCTTTATCTCAGCCCTTGGCTCTAACCTTTAATTTTCTTCCCGATTCTCTCCCTCATCCCACCGAGGGAGGGGGGGGAGTGAGTGAGCGGCTGCGTGGTGCTGAGTTGCCAGCCGTGTTAAACCACGACACCAGTGTTAATATCACAGGAGTTAGTCATATGGTATAGAATGATCCTGTTGGTCATTTGGATCAATCTCCTTTGGGGAGTTTGGGTCAGCTGTCCCACCTATGTTCCCCAGCCTACTCCATGAGGCAAAGTGAGAAACCTGAACACCTTGATGTTGTGCAAACACTGTTTAGCCAAAATACTGGTGCATTATCAACACTGTTGTGGTCACAAATACAAAATGCAGCACCATACTGGCTGCTATGAAGAAAATTAACCCTATCACAGCCAGACCCAGTACAATAGTTTACTTCACTTTCTGTGAAACCCTTTGGGTCTAATGACACAGTGACTTTGTTTTTTCCTCAGCTTATAAACTGAGTTGTCAAGGAGCAATAGGAGGAATTAAGAGCGGGGTGAAGCAGTCTTTAAGCCCTGAGAAAACACTCACTGACCTGGAACCCCCTCCTTTTGTACATCCTTCAGGAAAGCAGTACGCTGATTTCTGAGCTCAGCCCCTCACCAACACGCTCTGAAGTTCGCTCCTGAAGCCATCTCTGAGGGCTTGTCTAAAACATCCATGGAAATGGCGGGCTGGGCAAGCTGGAGACCACGCAGCTCCCCATCCTCACCCAGTGAATGTCCTCAGGCCGGCCCTGCAGCAGCCTCTCCCCTCCCCTGCACGGTCTCAGACCTCCACCTCCCCTCCTGAGCAGCAGGACCGATGGAACCGCGGGTTTCCACGGCCAGGCCTCCACAAGCGTCTCTCCTGTTTCTGTGTGAGGAAACCGAGTGGGGTCCACTGCCTGGTTGGTGGGCTACCTTATCCTTTATGCTTTCCTTAAAACGGGAGCAGATTTCGCACAGCTTTTGAAAACCCCTCCCTGCCCACAGCTAGGGTGCCCTGGTCCGGGAAACAGGTGATTAAATTTGATTTTGAAACCACTTAAGAGCGAACCAGAAGGACGGGATGTCATCCAGAGAGACCTGGACAGGCTGG